AAACATTTCGATAGTGAAAGAGTAGAGCATGCTGCACATGATTGTATTGTTTTTCTTTGTCAGTAGGGTTGTGCGAAGCATCCCTCCATCAGCGCATGGACCATAACTTTGCCGCCCCCCCGAAAGCCAAAGAAAATGGTAAGATATGCGCATATGGAGATTTAGACGAAGCAAATATGTTGACAAGGCATGGGTAAAAATAGAATTCTGTGTGACATTATATTAAGTGATGGATTATCACTCTAGTTTACAATGCAGGTCTGTAATGTGTTTCAAATTACCCTCGAATATACACTGAACAATTTTTGCATTTGTAAAAAAGAAAACAAGACTTTTTTTTTTAATGAATACAAACAAATGTCCAGTGGTGAAGTAATGAGAGACAATGCTGAAGAGCATTTGTGTAAAATTTTGCACTCAAGTTCCACACAGTATGACACTGAAGTTTGCAAGTAGAATTTTTTTGAGCCTATTTTTAACGAGTTGTATATTTTTGTGGCAATTGCATTTCCAACACAGTTTAAACATTTTAAATGAGTTAAAATGATATTGTGGTTATTACATTTAAGTCGTCATAGCGGATGCATAGAAAACAATGTGATATGTGATTTTGATATTTTGGCTTGAATATTACAATTCAAATATTGTTTGGAACTTGGCGCTGTCTCTGATTTGTTTAAGGAAACTTATTTTGATGTATGGGAGGTAATTAATTGGTTACATAACTCTTTATCAATTCACGAACGCAAAGCTTCTATAAAATGTTTAAACCACAACCAAGGTAAGGTGTAACAGCCTGTTTTATGCTGGGAAGTGGTGTATTAGTTAGCAGATGGGTTTATTAAGATGGTTGGGCTTGTAACTGTGTACCTGGGCCTTCAAATTAGGGTCAAAATGAATTTTGAAGCTTGTAAACGTGATGTTCACAAATAAATTCCAATGTTTGTAGTTTGTAAATACAACCTTTTTGTAAACAGATGTAAAATCTGCAGGAGAAATTCTTTTGCGTATGTGGAAATTGCAAACTTGTGTCAAAGAGATTTTGTATTATATTGAAAAGTCTGAATCAAAAATTCAACAAATGATCAAATTGTTAAAGAAGAGACACTGTAACGAAGTAAATTGATTTGGTCAACATCTGTGTTGTGATAAAAGAGGCATGAAAACAGTAAAACTCTGGTCAAAAGTTCCCCCAGTGACACTTAAAGTGACAAGGATCAAACCTTTGTACTTGTTCAAGTGTCACACACTGGGATTCTTGCCCACACTGAGTTTTACAGTTTTTTTCAGCTCTTATCTCTGTACACAGATGTCCCAGCAAAGCATTTTTTCATTCGGTTGTTTTGTTTGACGCTCAATGACTGATCATTTTGTTCAGTTTGATCCTACACAGTCTCAACAAATAGAAAATGGTCTTTTCCACAAGCACAATTTGTTTCAGCATACCGCAAACTTGAATTTGCTCAAGCAGATTTTATTTTCATGGTTTACAAAGTTTTGGATTTCCCCAGCTACAAATTATTGGAATTATTTGTAAACATTACTTTATAAAGCTCAAAATCATTTTGAGCCTATTTTAAGTCGGGGGCTTAGGTCGGGGCTAGTCGGGCGGTTGGCGGCCGTGGGGCTAAGTCGGGGGCTAAGTCGGGGGCTAAGTCGGGTGGCTAAGTTCGGGGGCTAAGTCGGGCTAAGTCGAGGGCTAAGTTCGGGGGCTAAAGTCGGGGGCTAAGTCGGGGGCTAAGTCGGTGGGCTAAGTCGGCGGGATAAGGTCGGAGGGCTAAGTCGGGGGCTAAGTTCGGGGCTAAGAAGTCGGGGGCTAAGTCGGTGGGCTTAAGTCGGGGGCTAAGTCGTCCATTCAGCCCATGCCTGTGCTGGGGGGGGCGCGAGCTAAGCCGCCGGGCGGCTAGCTCTTGCTTGCTGGGCCCGCAATGCCTGTGCTGGGGGGGGCGCGAGCTAGCCGCCAGGGCGGTCTAGCTCTGCTTTGCTGGGGCGCAATGCCTGTGCTGGGGGGGCGCAGCTAGCCGGCCGGGTCGGCCTAGCTCTGCTTTGCTGGGCGCAATGCCTGTGCTGGGGGGGGCGCGAGCTAGCCGCGCGGCGGTCTAGCTCGCTTGCTGGGGGCAATGCTGTGGCTGGGGGGGCGTCGAGCTAGCCGCACGGCCGCTAGCTCTGCTTGCTCGGGCGGCTAATCCTGTGCTGGGGGGCCGAGCTAGCCGCCGGGCGCGGCTCGCTCTGCTTGCTGGGCGCAATGCCTGTGCTGGGGGGGCGCCGAGCTAGCGCGCCGGCAGTGCTTGCTGCCAATGCACTTGCTGGGGGCCACATAGCTCCGTGCCTAGCTGCTGCTGGGCATGGTGTCGGCGAGCTAGCCCCGGGCGGCTAGCCTCTGCTTTGCTGGGGCGCAATGCCTTGCTGGGGGGGGCGGGAGCTAGCCGCTCGGGCGGCTAGCTCTGCTTGCTGGGCGCAATGCACTCGTGCTGGGGGGGGCGCGGAGCTAGCCGTCCGGGCGCTAGCTCTGCTTGCTGGCGCAAATTGCTGTGCTGGGGGGGGCGCGAGCTAGCCGCGTTCTTGTTAGGCGTTGAGCAATGTAGCCTTAGCTAGCATTAGCAGTTAGCCATAGGCCGTTAGCATTAAGCAGTTAGCATTAGCCAGACTTAGCGTTAGCATTAGCATTTTTTATTTGATTCTTTATTGGTCAAAATAACCATGGACAAGCATAATTGATGGGTGGGCTCGCTTGCTAGCATAGGCAGTCTAGCTAGCATTAGATTTTTTTATTTGAGTCTTTATTGATGAAAACATGTACAAGCATTATGTGGGAGTGGGGCTGCTTGCGGAGCATTAGCAGCTAGCATTACGCATTAGCATTTTTATGTGATTCTTTATTGATGAAAAAACAGACAAGCAGAAATTGGGGTGGGGGCTAGCTTGCTAGCAATTAGCAGCTAGCATTAGCATTTTTTTTATTGATTCTTTATTTGGTGAAAATAAGCATGGACAAGCAGAATGTTGCATGGGTGCTAGCTTGCTAGCCATTAGCAGTTAGCAATTAAGCTTTTTCTTATTCGATGCTTTTCATTGATGACAAACGATGACAAGGGCAGAAAAAAAAAATGGTGGGGGGGGTGGGGCTACGCTTGCTATAGATAGGCAACTGCATTAGCAGTTTAGCATTCGTTAGCATTAGTTTCTTTATTGAGTCTTTATTGATGACCTAAACCATGACGACAGCAAGAAATGTGTGGGTGGGGCTAGCCTTGCGAGATTAGCAGTCCGTCCTAGCATTAGCATTCTTTTCTATGATTCTTTATTGATGAAACTAAACAGACAAGCCAGAACAGATGGGGTTGGGCGGTACGCTTGCTAGCCATTAGCAGTTCTTTTCTTGTTCATTTTAATCTCAAGCCACGCATCAATATGTAGCAGACCATTCATGGCACCTATCCCTGAACAGCTGAATCAAGATATTTGTGATTACTTCGTGATCACCCACAATCTTAACTCAAGTGTTTGTGTTTTATTCGTCATTTAAAGGTTCACACTGAAAACTCTATGATCTTGCCAACAGAAGGAGGTACGCATTCATCTGGTTGTGGAGGAGGGAAGAGCTGCATGGACATGCTTAGTTCTCTAATGTTGGCTGTGATAAAATAGGCTCAAAATGATTTTGAGCTTATAAAGTAATGTTTACAAATAATTCCAATATTTGTAGCTGGAAATCAAACTTTGTAAACCATGAAAATAAATCTGCTTGAGCAATTCAAGTTTGCGTATGTGAAAACAAATTGTGCTTGTGGAAAAGACATTTCTATTTGTTGAGACTGTGTGGATCAAAACTGAACAAATGATCAATCATGAGGTTAAACAAAGACAAGGAATGAAAAAATGCTTTGTGGACATCTGTGTACAGAGAAAGAGCTGAAAACTGTAAAACTCAGTGTGCAAGATTCCCAGTGTGGGACACTGACAAGTACAAATTTTGATCCTTGTCACTTAAGTGTCACTGTGGGAACTTTTGACCAGAGTTGTACTGTTTTCTGCTCTTTATCACAACACAGATGTTGACAAATCAATTTCTTCTGTTACAGTGTCTTTCTTTAACATTGATCATTTGTTGAATTTTGATTCAGACTTTCAACAAATACAAATCTCTTTGACACAAGTGCAATTGTTTCACATACGCAAACATGAATTTCTCCTGCAGATTTTACAGGTTTACAAAAGGTTGATTTACAACTACAAACATTGGAATTTATTTGTGAACATCACTTTACAAGCTCAAAATCATTTTGACCCTAATTTGAGCCCAGGTACACAGTTACAGCCAACATCTTAATAAACCCATCTGCTAACTAATACACACTTCCCAGCATAAAACAGGCTGTTACACCTTACCTGGTTGTGGTTTAACATTTATAGAGCTTTGGTTGGTGAATTGATAAAGAGTTTGTACCAAGTAATTCCTCACTACATCAAAATAAGTTCCTTAAACAAATCAGAGACAGCAAGTTTCCAAACAAGTATTTTAATTGTAATATTCAAGCCAAATATCAATAATCACATCCACATTGTTTTCTGATGCATTCGATATGACGACTTAAATGTAATAACCACAATATCATTTTAACTCATCTTAAAATGTTTAACTGTGTGGAAATGCAATTGCACAAAATATAAACTGTTAAAATAGGCTCAAAAATTCTACTTGCAACTTCAGTGTCATACTGTGTGGGAACTTGAGTGCAAAATTTTACACAAACTGTCTTTCACATTGTATCTGCATTACTTCACCACTGGACATTTGTTTGGTTTCATTAAAAAAAAGTCTTGTTTTTCTTTTTACAAATGCAAAAATTGTTCAGTGTATTATTGAGGGTAATTTGAAACACATTACAGACCTGCATTGTAAACTAGAGTGAAATCCATCATTAATATAAATGTTAACAGAATCATTTTTACCCATTGTAACATTTTGTTGTTTAAATCCATGCGCATGACTTACCATTTCTTGCTTTCGGGGGGCTGCAAAGGTATGGTCCCAGCCTGAGGAGGATTCTGCCAACCCTATGAAAAGAAAAAAAAACAACATGTCAAGCAGCTCCTCTTTTCACTATGAAATGTTTTTCAAGCAGTCTAAGGACTTCAGAACATAAAAGATGCACAAATCAATTTAAAAAGGTTATTTAGCATATACTGTAATAAAAGAGACTTTATGAATGAATCTTAAATGATACATTTACATGTAAATTAAAAAAATAAAAAAACCCATACTACACAACTATGTACAAAAGTGGTTTAGAATCACAAAACTCCTGCTGGGCGAGAAGCGCAAAAGGTATTAATTAGGGGAATATGCAAAAGATCACAGTATAGACAATATCTATCATGTGCAGGGATAATACCTCAAGGTGTTGATGTTAAATTAAGCGTAAACAACCAAGTGTGATAAGAATTCAATGTACACTCACTATATAACCAACAAACTTTACAATACATAAACAGTCATATATTCATTAAGAATCAGCAGTATGAACATATTTACACTGTGGGTCTGATTTAATCAGTGGTATAGACAAGTCTTACTTTTCAAAGAGAATGATAGCATGTTACTCACCTAGCCAGTGTCTTGACTCTGCCGTTGGTGAAGGTGGAGGCGATATTGCATCTGTACTGGCTCAGGTCCTGAAAAAGACAGAGGGATGCTGAAATCCCCTGAGAAATGTGAAGACCTAGTTCACTTTCAGTCATGGCTGATCTCCTAGCAGTAATGTAAAAGTGGTAAAAACTAGTGTTTTTGGCAGCCTGTTTTAATTTCAGTCTAGTCTTTGTGTCAAGCTGTCATAGTTTTTATTAGTTTTAGTCACATTCATACTCTTTAGTATAGTCAAGTTTTAGTCGACTAAAAGTCAGAGCATTTTAGTTTAGTTTTAGTCAATGAAAATTTTCTATTAGTCTCCGACTGGCTGCCGGCCTTCGGTCCTTTTCTGTTGTGTTATGATTCTGAAATTGTAGTTCAACCGCAGCTGCAGCTTCTAAATGCCGCCCGCGAGTGGGGATTGAGGAAGTGATGTCGCGTGCGTCGGCGCAGTGCGACCTGATGAAGTGAGACACAGGAAACAGAAATACTGCAAAATAATAACTCGACTAAACGAGTCGAAATGACTCGATAACATTTCGTCTCGTCTCGTTTTAGTCAACGAAAATGAAGAGACATTTTAGCAGAGTTTTTATTTTGTAAACCATATTTAGTCTCGTTTTTATTCGTCAACAATAATATATTTAATTATAGTTATCGTCACATGACCAGCATTTACGTTGCGTTTCGTCTCGTTTTCGTCACGTGACAATCCTAGTAAACCGCTAAAACTTCTGTGGACAACCTCAATATCACCACCTGAAATGTTTGTCAGTCGTTGCACTGATTATACTCTTAGCTTCAGAACTAACATGAAGCTACTCACCTAGCTAACAGGAAAGTTGCGAGCTCGGCATCGAGCTCGGTCCTTCAGGATACAGATGAATATCGTCCTTTAGGAGGTTCAGCCATTCCTGTGTTTCTGTGTTGATAACCTCGAGCTGCTGGAAGTTGTTCTTCTTCGTGGGACTGAGAGCAGACTTGACGCGCCACCGACTCACACAGTCTCTAGCGTCACAAAGTGGTATCACAACACAGGACAGGTCGGGGCTGGCTGGTGCGCATGCGCATTTCAGGAGATAACTGAAATACAACAGATGAGGTCTTGATCATGACATCGTCACTGTGGCTGCCTCACACACGGTTGATAGTGTCAATTCATTTATTTATTTTTTAAAATAAAGTTCTGGCCACATCTTATATTGCACCTTTACAGCACAACCACCAAAGCTGACATTTAAAAAAAAAAAAAAAAA